ACAAAAAACCAAACTGGAGATTAAAAACCAAATTAAATCGAATTTATAACTTTCAATTGCAAAGACAATCAATTAATCGACTATAGGCCTGACTCTCTAAAAAAAAATTCCCCAGCGGAGTTGCCAAGCTGTCGAAACGATTTTTAAACGAGGTGAGATTTGGAAAAACCACATCATTTTTAATTATTCTCTTTATGTTTGATTTTTAATTAAAAACAATGTGATTTTAGAAAATCTCTCGTTTCGAAAAATTTGGAAATTCCTTTACAATAAAAACATATGGTTCGAGGAGTCGCCACCAATCTTTGATTAGGGTGTGATTGGGCACCCAAAAACATTGTCATTTTATAAAAAAATAATTTTAATTAAAACGACAAATTTGCGGTCTACATTACCAAAATCTTGATTCGGGAGTCGGTTACGTGTGGGGAAGGATTAGCACCCCCACATCGCCCTAAATCGGTACCTCATCAATTAATTAATGTCTTTGCAATGAAATTTACAAATTCGAGTTTAATTTAATTTATGATCCCCAACAAAATTAACAACACATGTATTTTACAATATTTAAAATCACCAAAATAGATTAAATTAAAATTACCTAACCTTTAGAAAGATAAAGAATATTCGATTATTTAAAAATATCGAGACCAGATCTTAAATAGTTATAACAACCTTTTCTCGATAAATTTAAATAGCCGAACATTTCTTTATCTTCCGTTCCCAAATTTTAAAGTGATAAATCAATTTTTAGGTGTCACTAATGGGATACACTTCTAATTTAAGTCGTTGAAAGCGGACCTCTAATAGTTAAGACAACCCGCTTGAAACGATTTAAATTAAAAGGGTATTACCCTTAAGCCAATTATGTCGTATGGTCGAGTTATGCACGTGAGACTATCATACAAAAAAAATGATACATTTCAATAAGTATTAAAGTCTAAAATACATATATAACTATATACTAAAAAAACCATTATGATGCTAATATGCCACTAATATCTTTTATACTAAAAAATAATAACTACAAATATAATATAAATCTCATTTACTTAAGGCTAAAAATAAAATATAATAATATAAAGCATAAAAATGCACATACCACATACAAAACAATAATATAAATGTCACAACTTAAAAATAAAATTAAATGTACTGCCAAAAGTCTAATCTTAAATTTAATATTACCAAAAAGGATGAAAATAACAAATAATGAAATTAAACTACCAAAATGTAAATTGAATAGTACCTTAATTAAACATATTATATAATTAAATAATAAAGTAACAAAATTACAGACCAAATATAAGAACAATCATAAAATAAACAAAACCATAAACTTAAGACTAGAAAGAAAAACACTTAAAATATGAATACCAAAATAAAAACATGAAAGATTCAATTGAAGGACTAAAACATAACATGTCTAAAACTAAAAGATTTTACACGCTATTATCCCAATTATAAAACACTTGTAAATTAACCCACTAAAAGGCATGTGTTTGGATGTCAAACGTGTTTTGCTTTTATAATATATATAATATATAAAAACTAAACCTAATTTATTCAATATGTTTTTTACTTTCCTTTAAAACAAAACCAAAACCATGTGTTGTTTTCCCTTCCCCCACTCTCTCGTTGCTTCCCTCTTCATTCTGTACACATCTGAGACCAAGATTTTTCATGGTCAACACGCCGTCAACCGAAACCTTTACAAAAATTCCATTACCATCAGCTAGCCACCAAACGCTACTGGCCTTATTTGCTCCGACGCCTCAAAAATCAACCGGGTAAGTCACTAATTCTAACCCTTTTTTATTTATTTTGATCTAAACTTATGAAAGCCAACGCTGCTAGCCTAAGACTCTTGAGGCTTGGACGATGTCAACCCTTGTTCTCGGTTCCTAATTTGGTGAAAAGAAAACTTGGATGATGAACCCAGGTAACAACATCGAATCTCTTCACTTTTTCTATATTTATTTTTTATTTGTTTCAAAACCCGACTAAAAAAATTACCTTCTAATCTATTAGTTTAGTTAATGCTTAATACTTTCGAAATGAAAAAAAAAATGCTTGATTTCTGGAAAAAAATAGAAAACGCTTCGTATAGCTCTCTGTCAAAAATAACGAAAGGGAAGGCTCTCTTTTTCAGTTTTATTAATTTAGAAATAAACACACACTACACTATAACGCCTTATCAACATTAAAAGAAATTTAAGGAATACCTTAAAACTGAAATTTATTGACTTCAAAAACGATGGGGAAACCCCCCCAATTTCACTGCTTGATCCTTGAATACAAGAGAAAGAATAATCCCCTTCCCCCCTCTTTTTTCCTTCTTCTTTTTTTTTCCGTCCCTTTTTTCCCCTCCTTTTTTTCGTTTCAGAGCCTCCTCTTATTTGGTGATTTTTTCTTGTTCTTCTCCACCCCTCCTTTGTCATTGCATGCCAATTTCTTTCTGTTTCGTGAGACTTTGGTTGGAGCAGGTAAAGTATAGGTGAATTCATCCCGAAATTTTAGGGATTATGTTGGATTTGTTTGATTTTGATTCCTTGATGATTTTGTTGATTTGTGCAGATTCCACGTGATGGCATTATTGGCTAAAGCATGGGTCTTGTTCGGTGAGTGACAGCAGCACGTGAGAAGCATGGGCTTGTTTTACAACCTGCAAGAACATACCTGATATTAATAATACTAATAATTGTTATAATATAATTGTTATAATAATAATAATATAATAATAATATAATAGTAATAATTATAATATAATATTTATAACCAGGACAAAAATTGGTGTCTACAGACTATCTTATTCATCTTCCCTTTTCTTTTTGAATTAATAAAATAATTTATTTTATCAAACAAATACAGATAAAATATAACAAAATCAGGATCTTAAAAAAGTTTATAAAAATAAAACTATTAACTAATATAAAAATAGATATAATAATATGATACGTTGACAAATGATTTTATAAATATAACTTAAAACTTAAATTAAAATAAAATAATTAAATTTAATCCTAAAAAAATTTATATAAAATATATGACGATCGAAGAAAATATACAACAGCCATATGGGGCCATATCCTTTGACTTTCCACGAGTAAAAACTGGGATTGTTTAATAAAAAAAATAATTAAATTCATGCACGTAAGCAGCCGTAAAAGACAAAAGTGATGAACTTTGTTGCATGTTAGGTTTCTAGAAATTCCACTAAAATCAAAGTATTAGGTTTTCTTTTATTTAAGTTTTGAAGCTTCCACATTATTCCTCCAAACCTAAAACTTCCAAATTATTCATTCTATTATTTTTAGTATGAAAAGAAATTCTCTATTATTGGTGACTGTCCCATACTTCCAAAAATATCATAAAAAATATATAAATTTTATATTAATGGAATTTGACTCCTCCATACAATCCAACCTTGATGTTTATATTCTTACGTTCCATCAAACAATGTTGTCATTTGTCACTTTTTAGCTAGCTGTTATCTTTAATTCCCCACCTTTTTAGCATTACTTTGTATATAATTAATTTATTGTTCAAAGATGTCATGCATTTCTCACATTTAGGGTTTAGGATGTGAACAATTATATGGACCGTCATCCAATGTTTTATGAATACAAGATAATAAATGTTTAAAGATTCACAACCCTTTGAAAACGAAGAAGGAAAAATACAAATAATTTTGTGAGAGCTTATATTCCGAAATAGATTCCAATCCGATTCAACTTTGAGCTAAATCAAATCTTTATAATTATCAAACATCAGAAATATTTTAGACATTAAAAATGTATATTCATTTCAGCCCAAAGAAAGTCCAAATGTCACTTTCTTATTCACCATCTTCTTTTATACAAATATAAACATAAAAATGAGTATTACAGCTTTGATAAAAATAAATAAATATCATTCAACTAAATATGTGGTGTGTTGACAATGAATCTTGAATTTAACCTCAAATAATATTTCTCCTTTCTTATATAAATTATATATATGGTGCAACCTCTAGGAAAAAACGATATCTTTCTAGTCAAAAAGGTCGTGATTAATTGAGAAGTGAGTTTACCAAATCTGAATCATATTATAGAGCAATAATAATAATTTCAGACCAAAAAGTTATGAAGGCAGAAACAGATACGTGTGGTGTTGTGGATCCATGAAAGATTGAATGTGGAATTATTTGCAATTCGTCAAACATCGCTCGAATTTCAAGAAACGATCAGATTGAATATCAAAGAATACCATAAAGTTTCATATTTAGTGTTTTAGTTTTAATTAATTAATATATAATCATAAAACATATGTAATAATGGATGACAGACAAATTTAGTTCCAAAATTCAACAACGGTCTAGCTTGTAGGTATTTTTTCCATGTGGTTTCTCCTACAACTTGCCTTCTTGTATCATGCATGTGCACTGAAGACGACAATAAAAAAAAGTAGTTGAACCATCAAAATTGTTCCATTGCATTATTTGATTTAATGAAAGTCTTTGACCTTAATGTTTAATTCAACTAATTCATTCATTTGGAATAAGAAAATGCTAACGGTATGAGTAGAAGACGTTGGTTCGTAATAGTTCACCTTTCTAAGTATAAATGAAAGACTGATGAATATGATAATCGATAAAGGGTATAACAAAAAGAAAAAAAATATTGTTGATCGGAAACAATTCGCAACATACAACTCTCCATTGCACTGTGCTCTTGCACTGATTGGGCCGTTCGTAGTAATTGAGGGGTGCGAGAACCGAGAAGTGAATTATTTATCAGCCAAGCATTCTTCTTACGATAAAAAAAACAAACAAAGTTGCTTTAGTCGAGTAGTTTTAAAGAAAAACTCATACACCCATGACTCAACAAGAAATAGCATGGTCATCGGCAGGTCCGTGAATTTAGTAATAAAAAACAAAACGAATCCCCATTACATTATTTGAAACATTAATGCAATTAACTTCACCAATCTAAGGCATACTCTTGAAACCACTTAAAAGATGTCACAAAAACCATGTGTTTGGTGAGCAAATTTATTCCATAAACAAGGAAACAGTATCCTTTACATGAGTTCAGGACAACACAATTCCCACTCTCTCGGATAACAATGCCAACATCCACCAAAGCTGTTAAAAACCTTCCTGCCATGTTTAAACCGGTACGATAAGCATAACTTATGGAGAACAAAATGAAAGTAGAGAGCAATATTGATTATAAATTAACAAGAAGCACAATACTACAATGTCCGCCGTTCCACTAAATATAGCATGCACATTGTGGTTTTTATGAAAATGCAAAGCCAATATTAGTTGGTGCAGCTTTACCAGAGCATGAAGCTAAAATCAAAACAGGCACATAGCAGCCTAGGCCTGGTATGTGCCAAGGAAACAGTACTTGGATGATTAGCCATGGACTACAAATTACGAATTTGGATGAGAAAAAAGTTTAATTGATCACCGAGGTGCACTTATGTATCCCTTGTAGCACATAAGTAGGATCAAATTCCATAGTTCTCTAGCTGCCAAACAATGATAGAACTGATGGTGTGCCTAGCACCATTCTCTTTTATATACAATGAAATTGATTAAAACTAATATTCAACAATAAGTATTTTAGTACTGCGCTTTTGATAATGATAATTAAAAGAGGAAGCCTTAAATTTGAAAAGTGTTTAGAACTCCTTAATCCCATAAATCAATCATTAATTTACCCACCGCCAGAATCAGAGTAATCTCAGCAGTAGCAGCTCGGTCTCAAAATAGTATTCTAACTCCCTGACCTCTTCATCCTACAATAACCCCCTACCAAACCTTTTTGCCAAACCTTTTTATTCCAATAGTTCCCAATGTGTTGCATCCTCAAAAGCCTTAAGCAACTACACTAAAGTGATTATCAGTTTCCTCATAACATCCTTCCAAACCTCATATTTTAGTGATACTTTCAGCAAAGCATTTTGTTTAGGATTTAAGACAACTCAAAATGGTAGATGTAACACATTTGACACCGTTCAATGCTTGTGCAGTAAATTTTTGCAAAACTTGTACTTAAAAGCACTATAGTGAGGGGAAAGCAAAATAAAACGCATAAGTTTTACAAATGTCCAGTAATTGAGCTCCTAATCTAACAAGTTTTATGAGTATGATGTTTTTGTGCTTTCAGAATTTGAAAAGAGCATAGTTGTTCCTCTAAACTTCTAAAATAAAATTACTTCTGAGATGCTGACAAAATACTTTCATCAGCTTAGAGATTCAACACAAGTCAATGCACTAGAAAATGGTATCTACGCCTGAGCACCTTACCATGTTTACCGAACAGAGGGCAGCAATGTCATCCGGAATTTTGATTTAAACAAGAAATATCATTCAATACACTAGCTCAGGCCTCCCATGATGTCTTACTAAAATTTTAGATTACACCAATACCACTTGAAGGAAACAACCGAGAACAATAAAATTATCAAACTAAATGACTAATCAGAATTCATCTCAAGTATATAACTAGGATATTACACTTTCCAAAGCCTCAGCACTCTCCAGTTAAACTTCTATTTGTTTGTGAGTCCGTGACCACAATATCTTATACTGATCATAATTAACATAGTTCCATCAGCTAAGATACTAATTCATTGAAATAAAACAAAAGAACTTTAATATGAAAATCACCTATTTGTGCGAGCAAAACTACCTTCACAGGTCAACATACCCCAAAAAACCCATTATGGTAGCCGGAAAAAGCACCGCGTATATGATTCGATTGCTCACAAAACATAACATGAAATCTTGTTAATCAAGATCCAAAGAACACTTGCAAACATTAGCCATCACATGACTGTTCAAGGTCTTAATTAATCCCATTTTCAGAGGCTCTACATCAACATGAAATCCAGAATCTGTGCTGTTCTGACTCCTTATACTATAGTAATCCCTATATGCAATATTCTATACCACTACGCAAGAAAAAACTAATTCGATTTCCAAAATCTTCAAAATGAGCACATTCCAGATCCCCTGCTCTTTTGAATCAAATACCAGATGAAACAAAGACTGAACGAAAAATGAGTCCTTTATTAGAACAAAAAGGAAACCAAGTTCCTTAAAGTATTTGATAATCGAGTGCCTGAAATTCATTGATTTGATCATCGACAGGGATAAAAAAGAACACTTTAACGCTTCAATTCAACACTAAGATCAAACAGGAAATTTCTATTGAACTTTTAACAGAAAACCCTTGAATGAAACAAAGCCCTGATGAGAAAAACAATCCCCGGTCATGCAATAAGCTATCTGGTCAATTCAAAAATACCCATTAAAACAAAACCTAGCCTGCTGAAAACCCAAAAAAGTTTTTAACTTTAGAACCAGTAATTTAAATTCAGAGAACCCATCAACAAATAATGCAAAAAAGAAGAAGAAAGAAACGAAATTTGACTTACCGTGGAGGTAGATTAAGTATTAGCAGTTTTGGGGATGAGAGGGATGGATCCGCCTTGTTTCCCCGCCTGTTTCAATTTGGCCTCTTCCTCGCGGATCTTCTGCATCTGCAGCATCCTCTCCATGACGAGCTCGTACTCACACTTCTCGTAGGAATGGCGTTCGTTCTCGCATTTCCAAGGCAGGTAGAACTCGTCTTGCCGACACTTGTTGAGTGGGATCAAAAGGTGGGCGCATTGGTCTCTGTATGGGATGGGCACCTTGTTTGCCACCATCTCATCTTGCGTTGCTATCATCTTCTTCGACGAACCCTTCACTTCCATAGTTTTTTTTTTGGGGGGTTCCTCTCTCCTTTGATCCATACAAAATATTTGGGTCACGAAAAAAAATCCCTACTTGGTGAGATTTACCTCTGCAAATGCTTTTGTTTTGTTACGGAGTTCATTTACCTCAGTTAGTTCAGATTAGATATTTGGTCTAATTTTGAGTTTAGTCCCTCTACTATACTGATATCGACGAGCAAATTCATTATTTTAATTGGAGGATCGATAAAACTAATGCTCCAACCACACTTGCAATTAACGATGCGAACCGATCAACAATAGTATCCCCTTCTCGATAAACATATCGGATACGTACATTCCACAACTCTTACAACATCTTTAAATATCTTATACTTTCAAATGATTTTGTATCAATTAAACTTACTAATCTGATTTAATCGATTTAAATATAATTACTGAAATGATCGTCGTACCATAAAATAAGAAGGTAGCTGGTTGTTGTAAATTAGAAACCAACCACATGATTTTAGAAGGAGAATCCATCAACAGAACATTACCAAGCTTCTAGTTCGGAAGTAGTTGTTGAGAATGTAAAGAGTGCCTAACTCTACTATATATAAAACAATACCAAAAACACTTAAAAAGAGCCTCTTTCAGTTATTCCTATATATACACACACACATACACCATGTTTGCTTATGGTGTGTATGCGATGGAGGAAAGTGTTGATAAGAATGTTGATTGGCAGAGTTCATCTGCAAAAAGGTTAGTTCCAATGGCTACTTCAATACCCTTGTTAGATGTCGACTCTTAAATGGTTTCGATTTTTGCAGGATGATTGGAAAAGTTGCAGTCATAACTGGTGGTGCAAGAGGGATCGGAGCTGCTACAGCTAAATTGTTCGCTGAAAATGGGGCTTCTGTTGTCATTGCAGATGTTTTGGATGAATCGGGGACCATTCTTGCCGAATCCATCGGTGCTCGTTACGTTCATTGTGATGTATCGAAGGAAAGCGATGTCGAATCGGCTATCCAGCTTGCCATCACATGGAAAGGCAAACTAGATGTACTGTTCAGCAATACCGGAATTGGAGGCACTGCGAGCAGCATAACCGACCTTGACATGGAACAAGCGAAACATCTGATCTCGATCAATCTGCTCGGCAATGTACACGCGATCAAGCATGCTGCACGAGCCATGCTGAGATGCGTTTCGAAAGGTTCCATCATATGCACATCGAGTTCTGCAGGCATCATGGGAGGGCTAGCGTCTCACCCTTACTCTCTGTCAAAAGCCGGTATCCTTGGACTGATGAGAACCACCGCGTGCGAGTTAGGCGTGCACGGCGTGTGAACTGCATTTCTCCACACGGTGTCCCTACGGATATGCTCGTCAGCGGTTATAGAATTTTCCGAGGGAACGAGATGACGCCCGAACAAGTGGTTAAACTTGTTGGTGAACAAGGGAGTTTACTACGTGGGAAAGCTGCAACCGTCGAAGATGTGGCCCGAGCTGTGGTGTTCCTGGCCACCGATGATGCCGGATTCATAACAGGACATAATCTTGTTATCGACGGCGGATATACTTCTGCTATTGGTAGCCTGAGTTTCATCTACAAATAGCAAATTAAGAATCGGGAGAAGGAAAAATAAAACAAAGGCCAACTTACCTGATATGTAAACATGAATGAATGCAAACACATTCAATCAAACCAACATAGTTGTACTACACCTTGGATTGAAATACATGCAGTTTTTATCTTAAAACATTACAGCTGAATTTCTCTCCATATCAGAAGGAACTTTAAAGAACCCTTCTTCTTCTTGTACTTCAAGATGAAGACGATGTACACCGACATGTTCAATAAGCCGAGACTAGCCAAGAGCCAGAAGAAATAGTCGCGATGGCCCTCCATAAGTTACAGGATCCAACCGACTTTCTTGTCATGTAAGTTACAGCAGTCAGAATAAACGAGCTCAGGTAATTACCCAAAGCTGTAGTTAGAAGTAAAAGCATACTACATAAACTCCTCACGGCATCAAGGGAGAAGAACTCAAGCTGTCCAGATCTAGCTCTTTTACGAGCTGCAATCTCTCAATCTCCACCACACATTCATGAAAACACTGATGATACCAAAACTACTAGCAATAGAAACGGAAAACCATGCATGAACTTAAATAGCATGTGCAGGACCATGAAAATTGCAGAAGTAAATTCTATTACAATGAAGTAAATGGTGGAGAACACTGCAATTGTCCTACATCTTCCCCGATATGCATCTGCTAAAGCAGCTCCAATGAGAGGTGTAAGGTTGCAGTTTCCTTGCCAAGTAGTCACATTTCCTTCATGCACCTTCTTAGTCAGGTAGCTCACAACATTATATGATATCCCATGATAATCCAATTTCATCTCCAAATTATGACGTTGATTCTAAATTAGTCTTATAAACTTTTAAACATTCCAATTTCATCCTCAAAGTATGACCCTCATTTCAAATTAATATTCCAACTTTTGAATCTTCCAATTTCATTCCTACTAGATTCATCAAAACATGTAATTAGTTCCAATCATAGTTTGACATATATTCTATTATTTTCAAACATATATTAATAAAGTTTGGCCTAACAGTTTTATTGACAATAGATATGATTAACATATATTGATAGTTTAGGATGAAATAGAAATGTTAAAAGTTGAATACAAGTTTAAAATGAGGTCTAGACCACTCCTTAAATTCTGGTTAAAATAATTAAATCATTGGTTATGGGTTATTAAATTTTATAACTGTACTTAACCACTTAATTGACTTAATATGCATTATTTTAATTATGTTTTATAATATAAAATAAATTCAATTTTTTATTGTTTATTTATTTTGTTGAGTATGTAAAATTTTATATGTGGTTAACTCGTATACAATTTTATTGTTGTTAATATATACGTGTCAATACTTAAAAATATTTTTGAATTTATCATTAAATAAATATATAATATATAAAATTTAAAGCAACCCCAATTCAAGTATATTACTTTGTAACATATAAATATATATATTTTTATTAATCTTGAATAAATACAAGATAATATCTATTTAAAGATAACCCTCAATTATTCGTCTATTTGGCATCGAATGCTCATGCTCCTAACATTTACGGTGCTCGAACCCGAAATTTTAAAGAATAACAACAATTTCTTTACCAACAATATTACTTTGCTCGTGATATAAATATATTTATAAATACATAATAAAAGTCAATGAACTAATTGACAATAATTATTATGACCGACTAACAACAAAATATAAGTATTATAAAATAAATAATTAATGTTAAACAACCTAAGGTTTGACATTAATATTAGGCCTGTAAACGAATCGAACGCACACGAACGGAGGTATGTTCATGTTCGTTCATTTAATAAATAAACGAACATAAACGAACACGAACATAAACGAACAAAATTTTTTTTGTTCATGTTCGTTCATTAAAGAATATAGCTTGTTCATGTTCGTTCATTTAAATGATAAACGAACATAAACGAACGTAAACGAACACAAACGAACGAACATAATAAATGAACATAAATGAACACAATAAACGAACAACACAAACACAAAAAACAAACTTATTCGAACACAACAAATGAATGTAAAAAAAGGTAAACAACAAGAATAACAACTTAAAATTCATTAATATAACCTGCAACTTTAGAGTTAATTTGTTCGAATACGACAAAAACATACATAAATCATAAATAAGCTATATGAACATAATAAAGTCTTAAAGTTAATTTGTTCAACAAAACAATCTTCTTGAAATCCAAACAACTTCAATAATCTTCGTAACATATTCAACTTGTCCTCTGTTCGAACATAAATGAACGAACATAAATGAACATAAATGAACGAACATAAATGAACGCACATAAACGAACATATAATCGAACGTTCACGAATGTAAATGAACGAACGAGCTCTTTGTTCGTGTTCGTTCATTTAATTAAACGAACGCAAAATCTTGTTCATGTTCGTTCATTTAATAAATAAACGAACATAAACGAACTTCCCGCCGCACGATTCATGAACGGTTCGCTGAACGTTCAGTTCATTTACAGGCCTAATTAATATGATTAGACGGTCGGTTTTATTAGTTAAGTCGAGATTTTTTTAACCAATATAATACGATTTATTTTTCCTTTTTATATAGATTGTTGAAGTATTTCTCGGTCAAACAACCATTGAATTTGACATTTTTATATGTGTGTTGAATTTTATTTTATTTTTCTCACTATTTTATTAAAAATAGGAAAAAAGATGCAATTATACAACATTGCCGGTTGTGGTGGTCCAAATATAAGATAAGATAGCTGAGCGGACCAGAATCGCCGATCGCAACTCGCAATTTCAACACAAGACTCGGTCCATTTGACGGACAGTTGCCGGTTTCCATCTTTCACTCTTCTAATGTTTATGTAAATTTTATTAGATCATACAATTCATATGCATATATGTGGTTGTTTGTGTTTAAATATTTTGTATTAATATGTTATAATTTAAATATAAATATGGTACTTTACATTGGTAAAAAATATATTATTTATTAATTTAATTATCATTTTATAACTTAAAAAAAATACCAAAATGGTTTTTTGAATACAATTAAGTTAATTTAGTGTACTTTGACTAATTATAAATTAAGAAAAGAAGAAAACTATTTCTTAATTTTCATTCCCAATTAGGAAGTATTAGGTTGATTATTGACTTATAAATAGGGACGAACGTAATATTTTGTATTGAGAATTGTACTTTTAAAATTTAAAAAATATAAATTTATAAAATTATATGAGACAATAATATATTTTCAAAAGCGGCCCTATCTATATCCTACTTATAAACATAAATGTTCATAATTGACTTCATATTCAAGACCTTCGGAGGCTATTCTTTTGACTTTCTCCACATCCACACATTGATTAAATTTCACACTTTATTATAAAACAAGCCACGACATAAACACTATGCCTTGTTTGGTTGTGTACATATTTTTTCTTAAATTTTGTAGGATTATTATTTATATTGTATTTATAGTGAAAAAAAAATCTACAAATAATATATTTAAATGTTATTTTATATATTTAAGAGACTCTAAATCCGAAATAGTAACTCATAAATATTTAAAAAAAATTGATAGAAGTGGCTAATTTTATTAAAAATATAAAATATTTAAATTAAGATAAAGATTTACAACCACAACTGTAAACTAAACATATAATAAGAATATTTTTCTAAACACAAGAAAACTAACCATTTAATATCATACAATGACCCTATAAGGAAAAAGGTTAGCCCTAATCAAATAAACTCGAACAAGAGATAAATATGAATAGATTTGATTGAATCGGCAAACGAATCACAAAAGGGAATAAAACTATTGAAAGACCACCGACATACCGCAAATCAGAATCAAACGATGTGAAAATACTATCTACGAACGCAAATCGCATATCCAAATTCAATCTGATGGTCGAAATTAGTAGGGTGATTAAGCCATGTTGTAAGAATAGATTCCTAGAAACAAAGCAAATTAGGCTTAATAAATTCATCATGAGGGGAATTTGGTTTTGCTTTTATAGTCAATCTTGAATAAAAATAATTAAAAATAAAATTGAATAAAGTCAATATCCTTAGAACTAAATTTGATGACCTAATATATTTAATAACAACTTGATAATTAGGAGGGAGTGGAGAGAAATAAGAATTGAGGCTCCTATGCCTCAAATTTTTTTTTTGATTAATCCTATGCCTCAATTTGAATAACATTATTGGAGGTATTTGCTATACCCTACTAAATAAATAATAATTAGTATTTATAAAATCTATGTATTCCTCTATTAATTATTATTAGTTCTATGGATTTAGAGGTAGGAGGATAACTTTTCCCTTTATTCTTCTAACAAAAAGATATTTTATTTATTTTTTCAAAGGAGATTTTTGAAAATTATTCTCCTTCGAACTATATTCAAAATGCTCATTATGCACGCGTCTTAGATCATTATGATCAACAACTCTCTATCTAAATAAAAAAAATATAAAATTTGATCGATCACTTAACTAATCATGATAGTATCTCTTTCCTTGTACATCAATAGTATTAAGTTGTTTATCTTGCCATTTTTAATGATACTTCTTAGTTTAATTGCTCGATTAAGTAGACATTCCTTTTACTTTTAAGGGAAAATAAAATAAAATAAAATGATAAACAATCAATGAATCAACCAAACGATGCTTTGAAGGTGCCTTTGTTTCATCATGGTAACGCAAGTTCCCCCCATCCGCTGAATAGGACCCCACCATCGTCTAAACACGGCGGCGATGGCGTTCTTTGACCCCTTTTTTTTCCTTCTTCCCGGGAAAGAGTCAAATGGAGCAAATTCCCTTTCGATCCATCCATATAAATACCCATTTGCCTCTCATTGCTTCCTTCATCAAGTAAAAACAACAGTTCCAGCTTTACAAAAAGACCCCTTCTTTGATTTCTTCTCAGTTCATTCAGTTTTTGCTTTTAGTTTCTTTAGACATCAACAATGGTGCTTTCTAAGACAGCTTCTCAAACCGATGTTTCTGTTCACTCAACTTTTGCCTCTCGTTATGTCCGAAACTCACTTCCAAGGTAAACCCGTGAATCTCCGGTTCGCAAATCATGTAAAAGTGTATGCATTAATGGTGAAAAACAAGGTGGCTAATTTGTTTAACTATTTGCAGGTTCAAGATGCCGAAAGAGTCGATACCGAAAGAAGCTGCATATCAGATCATCAACGACCAAGGTTGAACCTTGCCTCTTTTGTCACAACCTGGATGGAGCCTGAATGCGATAAGCTATCATGGATGCAGTTAACAAAAACTACGTCGACATGGATGAATACCCTGTCACCACCGAGCTTCAGGTACCCGTCGAATCGAATAGTTGTGTTAATATCAAATGGTTCACGAATAATTAGTTGAATGTTCTGCTTGTTTAATTCCTGATAAAAAAATTACCCTTTTTTAATTCAGAATCGTTGTGTGAACATGATAGCACATTTGTTCAATGCACCACTCGGGGACTCGGAGACCGCGGTCGGAGTGGGAACGGTCGGATCATCTGGAGATGGGAGACCCAATTCATGTTGATGCAGCTAGTGGTGGGTTCATTGCACCATTTTTGTACCCAGAGCTTGAATGGGACTTTAGGCTTCCACTTGTGAAAAGCATCAACGTCAGTGGCCATAAATATGGTCTTGTTTATGCTGGTATTGGTTGGGTTATCTGGAGAAACAAGGAGGATTTACCTGAAGAACTTATTTTCCATATTAATTACCTTGGAGCTGATCAACCCACTTTCACTCTCAATTTCTCCAAAGGTTCAAGCCAAGTCATTGCTCAGTATTATCAGTTGATTAGATTGGGTTACGAGGTAAGAACAAGATAAAAATAATCGTATGAACCCGTTAACTGTCACGTTAGCATATGATATTTGATTCATGATTCGAATTCGGTGGTATTTTGTTACAGGGATACAGGAATGTGATGGAGGACTGTCATGAAAACGCCACGGTCCTAAAACGAGGACTGGAGAAAACAGGGCGGTTCAACATCGTGTCCAAGGACGAAGGGGTCCCGTTGGTGGCGTTCTCTCTCAAGGAAAACAAGCGTCACGACGAGTTCGAGATAGCCGAGTTGCTGCGTCGGTTCGGATGGATCGTGCCGGCATACAACATGCCGGCCGACGCGCAACACATAACTGTGTTGCGTGTAGTCATCAGGGAAGACTTCTCCCGTACCTTGGCCGAGCGTCCGTGATGGACATCAAAAAGGTGCTACACGAACTCGATACACTCCCAGCGAAGGTGAACGCCAAACTGGCCATGGCTGAGGAAGGGCATGGAAAGAACGGCACTGTGAAGAAGACCGCCATTGAAACCCAGAGGGAAATCACTGCTTACTGGAAGAAATATGTGAGTGAGAGGAAGACGAACAATAACAAAATATGTTAAGAGATTTATTATAATCTTTAATCTTTAATTTATCAGTATGTTTCCACCTATTGTTTTATTTTTCAAGCTTAAGAATCATATAGGGAAAATGAGTTGTTGTCCTACCGAGTTGAACCATTAATGTAATGGATTATTTAGCAATATATTAAAGTTTCAAACCAGAGTTTGATTTAGCATAATGTTGTTTCTGCATAACCGCGTTGTCCAGGCTACAGATTGTAATGGTTCGGATTGGTCCTAACTCGAACATTATATTTTTTTACCTGCACTTACATTTGATATGAGTTTAGGGAGATTTTGCTCGACCTAAAACTTGATCTCACTATAAGGTTGAAACTCGAATCCTACCCAATACAAATATATATATATAACATTTTTTAGGTAAAATAAATTAAGTTCTAATTGAAAAAAATAATCACAAGGTTATTTTACGATTATCTCTTAATATATAATAAATAATTATATTTTTATTTCGAATCAAATTTTTTCAACTTAAATACGAATTAGATACGTTATCATCCTTAAAGAATTTGATTTAAAATCTTAAATTGATAATTTTATTAAACTAAATTGAATTAAATCGAAATTTACTATCTTCAAACTAAATTATGAAAAGGATCATCTTCCATATATTCTACAAATATTTTGATTCATGGTTAATAAATTTGCCACGTATACGTTCCCCCCTTGTTATAAAATATTTGAAAGATACTTCTATCATAGTGGAGCACATCATTTATCGTCTCAAAGCATGCCAAAAAATTAACTGAGATTTTACACATACATGTTCACATTGCCACCTACCCTAATGTTAGGAGGTATTTATATTCTTTAAAAATTAAACTTTGGATTCAAAGTTAGGATGAATTTTTTTATCTGATCTGATATAAAATAATAGTATAATAAACTCTTTCATATTTAGGGATAATTAAAATAATATTTATTTATTTATATTTTTCTTTAGTTAGATCTCTATTTTATCGAATAAAAATAAGATTTTATTTGTATTGGATTGAGTCAGATGTATGCTTTTATCTAAAAAATTTGATTAAATTTTGAGTATAGTGAAACTTCCTATACTCATATCGAATTAAGTAATGTATGAATTAAGATAATACTCTAATCAAGTTCATCCCTAGTTTTATATATATATATATATATATGAAAGATTAAAAAAAGGAAATAGCATTTTATTTATTAACCAATATCTACGGGAGTAACATCCTTTCAATGGGAACATAGGATTAATGGTCCAAATATCATCACATCTTGAATAATCAAAGGGGAAGAACAATCCACCAAATTTTTCCACGTAAGTTCCCCACAACCACCGCACTAAGCACAAATTTCACCACCTCACAGGCCAAAACACCCTAAATATGTTTATAAATATGCATTATTTTGGGTCAGTCAAATGCAAGTGTCAAAACAAGAGTGAATCCAGCAGAGTGTAAACAAAAGACCAGTGATGGCTTTCAGCTCAAAACCTTATTGCTTCGTTGTATTGTTCGTGTTTCTGGTAAGTTTCCATACATTGGTTCGAAACGTCGGTGCGGCCGGTGGTGCTTGTGGGAGGACCCCGATTAGGTCCGCTGCAGCAAGTTTAAGCCCGTGCTTGGGTGCGTCCCGGAATGCGAGGGCTAAAGTCCCGCCTGCTTGCTGCGCCAAGGTGGGTGCCTTGATCCGGACTTCCCCAAGGTGCCTTTGTGCCTTATTGTTATCGCCATTGGCAAAGCAGGCCGGGATCATGCCCGGGATCGCTATTGCCATTCCCAAACGATGCAACATTAGGAACAGGCAAGCCGACAAAAAATGTGGAAGTAAGTACCCATTGTGTTCTTTACACATTTGCATCATATCGATATCGGTATCCGTTAATCAAACTCTTACCCCAAGGGCAAGGCTAACTATTAAAATTTTGACAATTTACAGGGTATACGGTTCCATAAGAGAGCAGGTGCATGCATGGAGGAGGAAAATGGGTTATTTATGTACTGTTTAGGATAGAGAGAGAGGAATAGAGACAACAAATAAAGTATTGCTGCTGCATTACTGGGTGATTCACCCATTAATTAAGGCAGTTCTTTCATACTATATACGTGATCTTGAGTGTTAGATCTCTAGAGGTAATAGCTTCACCATGTTTGTTTTTGCACGTTCACCTTTATATTATAGTAATGAATAATAATTTCTAAATATAAACTTCTCTCTCCATGCATGCAAAACAATATATATTCGTGAAACATCAAGTGATCTCAGTGATTAAAGAGTCATTTTCTCCCTTAAGGTCATAGGTTCGAGCAGCTGTATCTGTAGATTATGCGTACGTTGTGAATACTTAATTTTTTTTAAAACAAATACTACCCTTATAATCACCTCAAATTATTAAAAAACGCATATTCGTAAGAGATGATTTTGGATTTAATCATAATAGGCTAAATGTGTTTATGTAAACCTTCAGATTAATCGTTATAAAAGATGGATATCAATGTTACTTGTTTAAGACACATTGAATAATTTTTAAATTTTTTAAATTTAAACAAACTAAATTTAATCTCATTTTGTTTAGTTTAAACATTTTTTATGTTTCTATCAAAACTAAAGTTTGATAATTTAATCTTACCAAGTTCTTAAGTCTTAACGCTTATGTATTACAAATATGGCTGTTCATTCGGTTAATTCGGTGACCGAACCGATCGAATTACCATTAACTGAATTAATCGAACTTTTTTTTCTTTAACCGTTAACCGAACCGAATTTTTTTCGAAAATATTAACCGAACCGAATAAAGTTCGGTTAATTCGGTTAATTTTTGAATTAACCGAATTGTTTTAGAATTTTGAATTTATATAAAAATTAAATATTTTTTAATAAAAAAAAAACAGTTTATAATTAATTTAAATAATATATAATTATAAAATAAAAATTTTATATAAATTTTTTAATTAATTAATATTGATTTAAGTTTAAAAGTTAATGAATCTTAAATTATTAATTATGTTTTAAATGGTTTTGGCTTAGCCCATATGTTATATATAATATATTTAATATTTTTTTAATTCAAAAAAACAGTTTACAATTAATTTAAATAATATATAATTATAAAATAAATTTTTTATATAATTAATTAATATTGATTTAGGTTTAAAAGTTATTAAATATTAAATTATTAATTGAGTTTTAAATGGTTTTGGCTAAGCCAATATGTTATATATAATATATTTAATATTTAAATTTTAATTTCGGTTAATTCGGTTAATTAATCGATTTCGAACCGAATTAACCGTTAACCGAATTCTATAAATTTTTTTAACCGTTAACCGACCGAATTAATTTGGTGACCGACTGAATTAACCGAATTAATTCGATTCGATCGATTAACCGAATTAGTTCAAAAATTTGAACACCCTAATTACAAAGAGAAATAACACATAAAACATACATTTCAAATATTAAACTAGAAATGGTCACGAGTAAGATTAAATTGGGGTTTTTGCCTCCTCAAATTTGACCGAGTATAGTATCTTCTGTCTATAACTCGTTTCGATCAGAGTTTAAGGAAGTTTCACCCACCGCTTTTAAGGTAAAATTCGCACCCAACTCGATTAGATAAAATAGAGACTCAATTGAAAAATATAAATATAAGGGTATTATAATAATTATCCTTAAATATATAAAATTCAATTATGTTATTATATTTGAATCGAATCAAATATTTTTCACTTTAAATCTAAACTTAAATTTAACTCGACTTAAATTCAATTAAAAAAACCTTATAAAATCCGATCAAATTAAATTCTCATCAAATTCGAGATAAATATTTATCCTACACAAAATGCAATGTGGGCAACACTTATCCAGACAGTTTTTGGAGCATGGAACTGCATAGAGTGAAAAAGGTTTTGTTCCACGTCACTCTCATCAAGAGTTCATCTTGTTCTTATCCACCTTGTATGTTTCTGAAATGCTGCACATTCTCAATGGACCGCACAAGCATGCCAATATGCGTACCCTATGGCCACCTATCATAAAAAAAAAGGAAAAGTCCACCTACAAGGATTTTAATAAGAGGGTCAACAACTGAATTTTTTTTGGGGTAAATTATGTATTTAGCTATCCATCTATTTTCATGGTTTCATTTTGGTCACACATTATTTCCCCCCTCAAAATCATATCTAACGTTACATTTTAATTATATTTTGATTAACCATCGTTAAAAAGAAATTGAATAATCAAAATAAAACTGTAAGAATAAATGACTAAATACGTAATTTACCCAATACATTTTTACAAGATAATATGAGTTTAGGACAGACCATATTTAATGAAAATATGATTTGAATGTACTATTTATAATCATATTTATTCAAAAACGAACCCCACAATGGGGAGGATGTGCAATGGCAAAATTCAATGTAAAATTTGCCAATAGGAGAAACGCTTGGTAAGGAATTGAGAAAAATAAAAGAAAGAAAAAGCTGAATTTTGAATTACCCTTGTTTTCTTTTGTCCTTATTTCAATTTTGTGTAAAATACATTGAAGGTTATTGAATTATATTTAAATAATATTTTGATCACTACTTTTAAAAGTTATAAAATAATTACTATACATGTCAAACTATTGTAAATAATAGCACATAATGTTATAAAAATTGTAAAAGTTTATTAAATTTAATTATTATTTATAATAATTTGATAAAATTTAAAAGTTTTAAATATATTAGAAATTTAATGATCAAAACGATCATTTAAGCATAGTTTAGTGACCTATAATATTTTACCCTTATTTTTTAATCTTCAAACAATCACTTTGCTTATACATGAAAACAACAGCATATGATATCATAACTTTTGCAATTATTTAGTCCCCCATGTACCAAACCCCACATTTTATGATTAAAATTCCATCCCCAACCAATTTGCAGAAAGAACAGAAACCGATTAGTTTCATATCCCAAGAAAAAACACACTTTTGTTTCCTCTCTCATTGCTGTTGACTGATCATGTAATCTACAGTAACATGGAACCTTTGCTGTGTTTTTTAAATGTTCTCTTAGCTATTTAAGACAGGGTGAGTTTAAGTTTAACTCCATGATCCATGGCTATTACACTACTAGCAGCATCAGCGACACCAGCATCAATGGCACTTCCCTAGGTTGGGATCTTCAAAACCGCGGAGTTCTCAACGCAGACATGTCTTTAGGTATACAAAACTACACGCTTTTGCTTTTGTTTTTTGAAGTCATGTTCTTCGGGGGAACTGGATTTCTGCAGATTTCTCTTCTGGGTATCTTGAAGATGCTTTGCTTGAATTCACTGAACGATCCAAACGAAGAAGACTGTTGTTGTACAACGATGATCATGATGAAATCAGTGGTTTCAATGATCTTGCAATGGTAAATTTTTGTTTTGAAACTTTCTTCTTTTCGTTCTATATTACCATTCTTAGTTTTCACTGTCGTCATGCAGCAAGGAAACTGGAATTATAGCTGCAACTGGGGCCTCTCTGAAGATTTCACCTGCATAAATGGTGTTTCAGGTAATGATTCATAAGAATTTTCACCATGCACGCCAATCAAGCCATGTTTACAATTTTCTAATATGTACAGAGATGAAAACACCAGTAGAGACAATATCAGACAACCCAGAAGAAGCTTTTGATTCGTCGTCTTCTTCATGCAAACTCTCAGCAGCGAAAACCAAGTCGTTTTCTTCCGGAAAGGAAGATAAGACAAAGAAGAAGAGGGTGATAACGAGGGTTGTTTATCCATTCGCATTGGTTAAGCCCGGCGGCATAGAAGGCGATACGACGCTGAATGACATTAATGAAAGGATTCTAATGCCGCCGACGAGGCCGGTAAGGCATCCGGTCGGTGACTTCGCTTGTCGGCCATGCGTATCTGCTGATGGTCCCGGCCTCTCCGGAAAAGCTGTTGTGGCCCTCACCAAAATACACACTCAAGGGAGAGGCACCATCACTATTATTCGAACCAAAGGTTAAGGAAAATTGTATAGGAGAGGAAACAATAGAGGGGTGTACGAATGATGAATCATGCATGAATATAAAATTATCATAATATCATCCACATTTAATTGTCTGGTTTTAATACTTAAACTTGGTTTGCCGCAACAGCAACGATGTTAATCGAATTAAGACTCGATCTTTTTCGTGTTTCATGCTGAAGCTTAAACGAATTCATTGTTGTCTTTGAATGTATTATTATCCAGTCTGACAGTCGTGAGGCTCTTAATTTACTCTCCCCGCCGTCGATGGACAGCCCCTTCGTCCTCGTGAGAGCCGTTGCTAATCTGTACAAAAAAGCTTTGTTTATTGATTTTAAAGTCTCTATCGAGAAGCAAATGCAGCAGCTGATTTCATCGCTAAGATGGGTCCTCCACCAGATGGTTCTCTTATTATCTTTGACTCTTTTTCGTCCTCTTTATTGGATATCCTTTATCGGGACGTTTATGACCCTCGTTATGGTCGTCTAAGAAATTAATGTAATAGCATTAGCCTCGTTTCTATTAAAAGAAAAAGAAAAAGTATTACTAGATTCTCATGGATAAAAAGGAAAATGGATATCTTACATAAATTTATGGAAAGGGTAAATAACACAAATGGTCATTAAATTATGTTGAAATAATCTTTTTAGTTATTGAAGTTTCAGAAGTTATAAAAAATCATTAAACTCTATCAAATTATTACAAAATGATCATTAAACTTATAAAACTGTTGTAAAATAGTCCTTAAACTTATCAAATTTATGATTTTTATAATATATAATATAATTTAATGATCATTTGTATACTTTTAATAAATATAAAATTCATGAATATGCTTCAATCGTTAGTCCAATATATACCGCTTTTAATATATTTATTATTTTGTGTTAGCTTTTAGCTCAAAATTTTCAACATCTACAAATTGCTTGGGATTTGTCGATACTCAATAGTCAATACCCACCCATTTGCTGCCACACTTACCTGCAGACACAATAATACTAAAACTTTGGACCCCAAAACTAAACCTAATATGTCACTCACCATATCTTTGTTCCCACCTGCACCTGAAATCAGCACCATTCATTTCCTTTGACTTCTCAAATAAGGGAATTACCATGCAAATCCAACGGCTCTGATGAGAGCCAGAGCATAAGGATATGAGAGTGAGGGAAAGTACTTGATTTCTAACAGCTGTAAGGCATAAGAAAGTTGCAGCAGCACCCACTTGGTTGAAAAAAGAAGATCAAGAGGAATGATGGAGATTTAGGGTTTGATCCTCTTTACAATATCATATTAGATAGGCCCCATTCAGATTTTTCGTAATTAGTCTATTAATTTGAATTCTAAACTTCATTTGTAACGACCATTAATTGGAAATGAAATATATATATATATATATATATATATATGAAATTCACTTTCCGAAAAAAAAAACAATGACCATGTATAAATATAGTTAAGCTGTGCAAATTTATGATGATCTAATTGTATCATAAATTTTCAAACTCTCAATTTATGTTATAAGATAATATATAGTTAAAAGAGTCTCAATTATTTAATAACGAACACTCATACATCTTTATATACGTCCACTGACGAAGCCAATATATAAGGAGGGATGTCATATGACATGTCAATTTTTTATTTTATAAATTTAATATAAAATAATTTTTAAAAATAAATTAATATATTTTTAATATATTATTTTAAAGGAAAGTCAATGTAATTTTTTTATTGTTAGTATTATTAAAAAGTTAAAATATTTAAAATTATTATAAAAGTTTTTACAATTATTATTGTAAACTAAATATATAATTTGGATATTTTCCTTTAACATTAACACAAAAAATTAGTTACTTTAGATCATACAATGACCATATATGAAAAATGTTAAAAACTTAACCAATAGACTTGAATGAAAAATAAATACAAATAAATTTGTCTGCATCAATAAACAATAAAAAATCATTATTAAAAACCATTAAAATTTATAAATCAAAGTTGAGTATCGTAAGAAACTATCCACCTATAATAGTACAAAATACAATAAAATTTGTAATTATAATTCACCTATAATAGTACAAAATACAATAAAATTTGTAATTATAATTCATCTATAATAGTTACATATAATAAAATTTAGACATATGTCATCAAGCATGAACGAAATCATTATTAACATACTAATAAAAAAAGTACGTCACGTCACATTTAACACAAATAAGTTGTCTTTACAGAGTTTGTAAATAGTGGCGGACATAAATGAACTCTAGGCTAGAAACATATTTATTTTAAAATTTGAATTTTTTTATTAATTATTTATTCTATTGGTGATGTATATTTCGAAATTGTATTTATACCTAACATATATAAAAGAATTTATGTTATTAATATATATATGTCAACCCTTAAAAATATTTTTTAGATCCACCACAATTTATAAATGCCGAGGCTATGTGATTTTATTTTAATCTTATGTAATTTTAGCTTAGTTTAAATTGTATCATGTATAAATTATCTTTAGATATATTTTGATTATCATTTCTAATTAACATTTATTAAGTGGTCTCAATGATTAAAGGAAGCGTTGTTTTCTTTAGAGATCTTGAGTTCAAGTATATATGTTTGCATGTGTATGTGCATCGTAAATGACTAAGGAAGACGATGAACATATATTATCTTATAATTACTTTAAATTATTTTAAAAGTATCGATTTTAATTAATTTGAAATTTATAATTATATATTAGTAAATTAAAATTGCAAATAGCAACCAATAAAAAGCTAATAATAGCTGATAATGGGTATAGGACATGGGTAGGTGTTTGAGTAAAACTTAATGGGCTTGGATTAATAATTGGGAAAGGCCTAATGACTTTGGGCTCTAGGCATAATATACTTTCTTTCACCTTGTTTTATAAACAGTAAAGTGTATTATTCATCACTAAATTGTCTTCTCTCCTCTATTCGATAATTAAACTTTAATTTTTTCGATTCAATCGTTAAACTTTCATATTATTCTTATTTTAATCACTATAATTTATTTTTTATTATTTTATAAATAAAGTGATATTATTTTTTTATTAATATATAATTAAACTAATAATAATAATAAAATTTCAAAATTATACTTAAAACTCAAAAAAATTCGATTAGTCCATTCATTTTCGACCACTTCCGTCTACCTACATTACTCCTCCTTTGATGCTGGAGAAAATACTCTACATAAGCACATCGGAATCAATCACGATTTCCTTATGAACATATTCCCCAAGATCGATTAGAAAGATTTCTTCGATGCTTCCAGAATCATGGGCTACCACAAGCGTCCAGAGATAGTGTTGTAAATGAGACCAGACAGATCGTGAGTTGTTCAAGATTGATTCGGTTAAAGTTCAATAAATACTCGATTCGAATGGAACTTACTCGAGCTTGAGCGCAACTCGAGTTTTTAACGAGCAAAAACGAGCTACTTGATACTTAACTCGAAAAACTCGTAAAACACTCAAAAAAATGATATATTAAATTTTTATTTTTTTAAAATTAAATAATAAATAATATTAACATTTGTGTGTTGATTTTGTTAAAAAAATACAATATAAAATTTTCATGTACTTAAGATTTAGATCCGAATTTGAGTTTAACCGAGTTAATATTCCTAGTACTTGGAGATTGAATATTTGTGATTTTAGAGATATAAGTTTAAAGATTTAGAAAATACGAGTTTTGAGATGATAGCAAGGATGACCAATTAGTGGGTTACCGACAACGAATGAATGACCATTTGACAATGGATGGGTGGTTAGAGATACCGATGGTTAGAGTAAAGGGAATTAAAATAAGAGATTTTAAGAATTTTAATTTTTTTTTAAATTTTAAAATTTTAAATATTTTTTTATAAGAAATAATAATTATGCGTGTGTATATATATATATATATATAAATATTAAAAAAATATAAACATGACATGTATCATCTAACGCAATTTTTTAAGGATAACTATAATTGAGGCTCTTAAAATGATAACGTTAAACATCTGAATTGATCGGAAAAAACTTTAAGCACCTAAATAGAAAAAATGGTATAATTTAGATATTATTTTTATATTAAGTATAAAATAAATGTTTAAATTATATATTTTTATTATTTCAATAAAAAAACAAAACGTTTCATTTTTGTAATCTTTTTAGATTATTGTTTAAAATTTAATCTTTTATTGATAAATTATTCAAGTTCTAATTTTTTTTCTTTATTTATCAGTATCAACAATACAAGTAAAGTGTTTTAAGATTAATTTTAGAGAATTGGGGTTTTTATCTCATTTTTTTTTTGTATAAATGATTTTTGTAAAATCTAAGTGTTTTGAAATAAATTTTTAGGATTTAGATTTTTTTTATTTCATAAGAAATAAAATGAAAACTCAGGCTGAAATTAATATACTGAGAATAGATGAAATCTGACAATAAAATTTTTGAGATATAATATTATTTGATTTCTAAAATAATATATCAGTTTTTGAATTTACCCTTTTGTTTTCTATGTTTGTTTCTTTACAAAATTGAAGAGGAAAAAGAAAGAAAAAAGATGACTAAAGATCACTTATCATATATTTATCGAATTTAATTTTTTAATGAACAATCTACAAATAATTAAGAAATAAAATGTTTGTATTAATAAAATAAATAAATAAATAAAAACTTAAAAACTAATTTAAATATTTGGTTTTATAACTAAAAAAACTGTAAAATCATTACTCATTTAACTCAATATATATATACACTCTGCATTGCCAATTCTCACACTTCCTTCACGCCTATACCATTTCCTTATTCCGACCCAAAATGAAAACCATCGGCGCCAATTGTCCGGCGGTTTTAATCCTCGGAGTTTTGGTCCTCTCTTGTCTTTCCCAAGTTAGATCCGACGCTTCCGACCACCGTTACAAAGAAGGTGACCCCGTCCCTCTCTACGCCAACAAGGTTGGCCCTTTCCACAACCCAGGTAATTAATTAACCCTTTCTTCTTCACTGGATCTGAAAGTTACTTGCTTTCCGATTCAATTCCTTCATTCCCATTTCATAACA